ATTTGTATTCTATGGCGTATATATTTACCCCTAAGGAACATAGAGCCGAGAAGTTGATAGTACATCCAAGAAGAGTGGTTGACCTTTGACATGGTACCAATTATATTGTCGTATGTACTCGAATGTGGGAGTTACACGTAAATATTTACAGGTGCTTACATATTGAGATATTATTTAGTAGTCCATTACCACACGGGAGGGCGGAAATATAGCGCATGAGGTTACAGTCATGGTAAAGGACAACGCCTATAATTTTTCGGTAATGATCAGATTATAATTTTGGGATAAAGTGGACCGAAAATTTATTTATTTATTTTTATTTTTTTCGATTCGATCACAACACAACTCACGGTGAAGGGAATATGGACAAGTAATTAGAAGGGCTGTCCTTAATATTTGTAATATTCGGAAATATGTCAGTGTAAGGAAAAGGTGCTGTTGACTTTTAATCGGGGAAGAGGGTGCAACTATGACGAAATATTACCCATGGCTCGGAATAAAAATCCGCAGAAATATAGAGTTCTGTGGTAAATGTGTAGGGTATCGTATGGTCGGCCCCGTCCGACTATACTGCCTCGGTCACTGGTTTTATTATATTTTTACTACAATTTTCTAATATTTTTAAATATATTTTCAAATATGTATTTGGATCGAATACGTACTGATAGCATGTATACGCTCCTTGGGATTATTTACCCATTATATCTCACTTTTCTTCTTTAACCCTTTCAATGTCAATAAAAAATTTTGTCGGAATAAAAATCTAAAATTTTGTATTTAAAATCATATAAAGGGACATAGTTTAGAAAAAATGGCGACTGCCATTTTAACCCTCGGCATGTTTCGTCTGTCTTTCAGCAAAAATAAAAACATCAATAGTAACGGTACATAGGATAACCGAAAAATCGCAAAGAAAGAGAGTACGTTTAAATGTCGAATATATTCGACAAAAACACTGAAAGGGAAACGGATTAATTTGATTTCTCCATAAATAAAAAATGGATCCTGGAGTCAGCACATTGTTTTTCTATAAGGCATAAGGCTTTACAAAATATATTGGTTCGTGTACGTAATGACGGCATGTATAAGCTCCTTGAAGATAATGTTTCCCCCTTGTATCTCCTGTATATTTCATCAATATTATCTAATGCGATACCTTTCTTTTATTATGTTTAAAAAATTAGATCCAAGCGTCTAAGGGTTGTTTTGGAAAATCATAGAACTTTTGAATTTTTTCTCCAAGTATCTGGGAACTAAATCAGGTTCAAATGTCTTGATATCCCTCATGTCTGCTTTGAAGACATTGTTCCATATTTATACTTTAAATATTCTTAAACTCCGTCTGTTTCAAATCATAGGACATCATAGAATATATGGGGTCGTATACGTAATGACAGCATGTATACGCCGTTTATCAACAAATGTTTTCTTGTATATCTCAAAGTTTGTGTGTAATCGATTTCCCCTTCGATAGCGCACCAACCGCCAAACAGATGGACGGACATTTGTAAATCGACTCCGTATCAGGTTGACATAATGTATACGCTTCTTAGGAAAAATTTGTTTCGATTTACTTCCATTATTCATAAGTAAAAATGGGACCTGTAATTGTTCCTATGGAAGAAAATGGGATCCAAGGGTTTGTGATTTTTTCAAGACATATATAACTGTATGGACCTTTTTCGAAGTTCCCACCCAGACCTTATCTGAACATATATCGGATAAATGTGCAGATTTTTTACATTGAAATATCTTATTAAATGTGCTATCTAGATAAATATTTAAACCAATTGAAAAACCCGGACGAAACTATATATGGGAACTATATCTAAATCTGAACCGATTCCAACAAAACTTCGCATACATTAGTCTGAACCTAATTCAGTACTCTGTGCAAAATTTTGTGCCAATTGCACAAATATTGGGAGTTTGGTGCATCATTCACATAAAATCGGACGAAACTATATATGGGAGCTATATCTAAATCTGAACCGATTTTAACAAAACTTCGCAAACATCAGTCTGCACCTAATTCAGTACTCCATACAGGATTTTGTCCAAATCGGACAAATATTGTTAGTTTGGTACATCATTCACATAAAATCGGACGAAACTATTTATAGGATCTATATCTAAATCTTAACCGATTAAAAAAAATCGCAAACAACAATCTGAATAGGATTCAGTACTCTGTGCAAAATTTTGTCTCAATTGAACAAATATTGAGAGTTTGGTGCATCATTCACATAAAATCGGACGAATCTATATATGGGAGCTCTCTGAACCGATTTCAAAAAAACTTCGCATACATTAGTCTGGACCTAATTCAGTACTCTGTGCAAAATGTTGTGCCAATCGTACAAATATTCTCATTCACATAAAATCGGACAAAACTATATATGGGAGCTATATCTAAATCTGAACCGATTTTAACAAAACTTCGCAAACATTAGAACTCTGTGCAAAATTTTGTCCCAATCGGACAAATATTGGGAGTTTCTCCAATTTCAATATCGGATCATAAATGCGATCTGTACTTTGTTAACAAAAATACATGGACGGACGGACAGACGGACATGCGTATATCGACTCAGAAAGTGATTCTATGCATATTCTCAAGAGGAACCATGTGTCTATCTCGATTACTTTTGCCTGTCAGAAACATATGCACAAATGCATAATACCCTGTACCACAGTGTGGTGATGGGTATAAAAATCTCACTCAAGTACTTATGATTTTTTTATAGGAACAAATTCGACCTATGAAATTTCTCTCTAGGTATCAAAGAACCGTATACGTTAGGTTTAACTGTATACAAAAGCACACTGTAAGCTTTTTCTGTAATCTTTTTAAATCCGCCTGTTGTACATCATAGAGTTTTAATGGGTACATGTGGTCGTATTCGTAATGACAGAATGTATATGCACCTTGCTGAAAATGATCCCATTGTATCAATTTTATTTTATTGTTTATTTCATTGTCCAATATCCTAAAATAAAATTTCATATTTCAAAAATGAATTACTTCTCGATTTTTTGCCATATTGGCTGAATGCTCTTTGTAGATATACATTTTTTTAATTCTCTTTAAACCCATAGTGCGTAATTGTAACTACATCGGTTAGGAAATTACCTAAATTGAAAATTTTGAAATAAAGTTTTCTACTAATTGCAATATATCTTTGAAATATATTAAATTTCTTTTCTGTCCCTTCCATTTGGATTCGACTTTCAAAAACGAACATTTTCAATATTATTTACATATGAGTTCGAAACATTCCAGACTTGCTCAAGAACCTTTTGTCTGAAATTTCTCAGTTCTGGATATCTTAAATAATCAAAACATAATTGTAATTGCTCAACAATCATATATCTTCTGCTTAAGAAATCTGTCAATGCCTTGTCACCAAAAATCTTTATCTCACTCACACTGATTAGATACATAAAATTACTTGCAGAAATTCTCTGTGATTGTTAGGCATTCATAAAAAAAATATTTGTCGAAGGGTAGGTCGGAATAAAAAATCATAAACATTTGATATTTATTGTTGGGGGGGATAAAAGAAAGCCAGACGCGTAAAATAAATTAGGAGCACTTTGGTTATTATGACTTTCGGAAAATTCTTTAAATATTATAGAAAGATTTTGAATTATAAATATCCTGGAGTTAATGAAATCAAAAATTTAAAAATTCCAGAAAAAATATTGTTTTCCCCACAATGACATGGACCATAGAAGATGTAAATATTGGTCGGTAACAATTATATCTTCAATATCTTCAAGAGTTGATGAGATGTTCATTTGTAGTTTTAATGCAACATGCTTGAGGAGTTGTAGATTCATATTAAATTAAAATAAAAACCAGTGAGCGGAGCAGTATATTCGGACGGGCCGATCATATGATACCCTACACAACTTCCACGAAAATCTAACTTTTTGTTGTTCTATATTTGCACCATAGATATTTGCACCATCTTAACTGAATAGAGGTCAACAAATTACTATTACTCATATTCCATGCAGCTCTTCTTGTCCAGATTCCCTTCACCATGGGTTGTATTGTGATGTTCGGCTTTCAATTATGACCTATAGATCGAATCGCAAAAATACAACAAATGAAGTTTTTGGTCCACTACATCCCAATATTATCAACTGATCATCACCGATAATTATAGACGCTGTCCTTGGCCATACCTGGATCCTCATGGAAAATTTCAAAACTATCAGGCCAATTTTTTCGCCCTCTAGTGTGGTAATGGATTACTATATAATACATGAATATGTAAACTCCTGCAAATATTTAAGTGTAAGTCCCACATCCGAGTACATACGACCACTCCTCTTGGATATGCAATCAACTTCTCGCGTCTATCTCCCTCAGGGGTAAATATATCCGCTATAGAATACAAATTTTCTAATTTTTCACACAAAAGTCAGAGTCCATTTGACCCTCTAAATATTGACCTATCTTCATCAAAACAGGCATGCTTATTCTTGGACCCGATCCCCTTCTCCATGCAATAATTTGTGTTTGGGCCATAATTGCGACCTTTGGAGCGACCAGAAAAACCGACAAAAATATAGTTTTTGGTCCATTTCATTCCCTAAATATTAACCGATCTTTTCCAAAAACAATAGGGGTCTTTATTGGCCAGAACCCATCCTACATGCAAAATTTCGTGAAGATTGGTCCATAACTGTGGCCTGTATCGTGTTTACAAATTATAGTGGACAGACGGACGGACGAACACACATGTCTAGATCGACTCAGCTAGACGAGATATGACGACCGGTATACTTAAAGTTTGGTTTAGAACCAATATTTCGCGGCGTTACAAACTTTTGGGGCTGCACAAAGCTATAATACCCTGACAACATAGTTGTGTAGGGTGTAAATATATATTTTTTTTTAATGGGAGTCTCTTTAATAGAAAATGGTACGTCACTCCGCAGACCAAAAATTTGTCAATTTTTTTAATTCTTTCAAAATCTTTACTTACCGGTAATTACAAACAAATATGACAACATTTTGTCTTCGAAAAAAATGAATTGCACAGCAATTATCCTTGTGTTGGAAATAATTGTTGAAATTTTACAAAAAATATAAATCCAACAAAACAGCAAATCAAGCACTATTTGTTGTTGTACAATTTAGTTTAATGTAATGTGAGTTTAATTTGTAATTTACAACAATAGAACACGCGACGCGGACGCCAACAGGAAAAGGATATTTAATTTAATATTTTTATTTCAAATTTTTAAAATCAAGCATAAAACAAAGCAAAACCGCCTTTTCGAATCTTTTAAATGCCGGTTGTTAGTTTAAATTTATAGCCGTTCAACGGTTTTATATTTTTTTATTTTAAAATTTCTTTATTTATTTTGGCTAACTATAATAATATTGAGCCAGCTGACAGGTGGTGGTGGTAGCGGTAATTCTTTTTTTCTTCGTGAAAATTTATTTTCTTTTATTTTTTCGCTTTTCTTGAAATGGGCGGGGAGAATTTTTGTTGTGATTGTGATTTTTTTGAATACCGTTTCGTTCAAAATCTGAACGATTACTGTTGAAAACTTTTCATTTTAAATACTAAAAAATATCACCGTACCCGACAGTTTTTGGTCTCGAGGCGTCAATATGTGAAAGCAATAATAGCAACAAAAACAACGACAACACCAACGACGACCACCACAACGGCATAACATCGTCGTCCACTGTTGTTGATGAATGTGATACGATTTTGCGATGCGATACATATAACAGAGCGCGCCAACGAAACGATTAACAGAACATAGAACAGAACAGCAACAACAAGCAAACAAATTGGCAAATCAAAACAAAACCGAACAAAATTTACTCTCACTCCCATAATCGTCAAAATGAACAACTGCTTTATAATTCACATATGTGAACTAGCGGTCGCTCACACTCTCTCTCTCCACCTATCTGTCTCTCTTAGAACAAAATATACCCCGTTACATGCAAAATAGACATGTCAGGCAGCCACCCACCCACAATGAATAATGAAAAAAATAACAGCAATCATTATCACTGTTAAATATACCGGCAAACATGTTACACTCACCCACACAACCATACACTCTTTCTCTCTCTCACACCTCACTCAGCTAACAGTACGGAAATGGCAAATAATAAACAAAACAACAAATTTGATATCATCAATGAATGAAACAAAAGGTAAGAATAATAAAAATGAATGAATTTAAATGGCAGAACACACGGATACACACATATAGAGGCTTAGGCGCATAACTGCCACCCTCAGGCATGCACAAACACAAACTCACACACACACCTGTTTAATATTTATTAATAACAAACATTTCTAAACACTTATTATGCTGTCTGATGACTGACTGATGCTGCTGCTGTTTGTCGGCGATTACTGGCTTTGTGTGTTTATTATTTTTGTTGCCTTTGTTGTTGTTGCTATTGTCAAAGTAGCTCAAAAATTCTGTAAATTGAAATTATCTCCGTCGGCTATGGCAAAACTTACAACAATACCGTTTTCCGTTAAACGTTCAACTAAACGACGAAATTTAGTTGGGGAATCATCATTGGGACCACTTTTGTGTGCGGTGTGTGTGTTGACATTTTCTTTACAATCAATAATAGTTGTAAAGCATAGATTGTAAAGCTAGATCTCATTTGAACTTATCACCAGAATTTTGATAGATTTGATGTGAGACCGGCGGAACAAAAACTTTGAATGAGAAAAAAGTATTCAAGTTTAAATCGATGATGGTCTTTTAAAAAATATTTTTTAAAAAATCCACGCCTATGGATGGACTATTAACAAATCCAGATCCTTTCCCTGCCAGATCACATTCTCCATGTAATAGCTGCTCTTATTGTGGTATTTTCTTCATATAACGATGTGCCAGTTTTTTCTCCTTTTATTTTCGTTTTATAAACAACTAAAGCAACATAATATTAATTTCCAGTAATATAACACGTTTTTATTTTTCAAAAAATTTTGCCTACAGAAGCATTTTCAATTGTATTGTTTTTATGTTGTGTGCTGTGATCTCAAACAATGCACAAAACATATTTACTGTGTGAATTGTGAGAGAATAAATTATAACAGAATATTAACAGGTTAAGAGACGAACAGAACATGGGAGGGAGATAGAGATTATTTAATTAACATGTCATTTAGCACACAATACACTAGTCGGCATTAATGTAATAGAATTTATTTTTAATTCTATTACATTAATATTTAAATTAAAATTATGTAATAAATGAAGTACCTTTGTGCGTATAAGTACTAATAATACTTATACGTACCATGCGTATACAATTCGGATACAATGGATAACAAAAATAGTTTCGAATAAAGCAATAAAATTTATGAAGATGCTTAATTGAATAATCATAATTTTTATTTTATTGTATTAATTATTTTTCTAGTATTTTCTATATTGGTTATATATTATTATATTTATATACACATGGGGCGTATGGATGCTATTATTACTAATACGCACAATGCTTTAATTTTATTTGCTGAAATTAAATACGAAAATTTCTAATTGAATTCACCTATATTTTCTGAGAACTGCTTTGACCGGATTCGTTTCTGTCCTTCTTCGAATCTTTTTCCGCACCGGTTCCTCTTATTAGTATTAATATTAGTATTAGTATGATACAAGTTGTATTAGTATTAGATTTATATTGATTAAAATTCATTAGGTATTTTGCAGGATTGTTAATGTAATTTCCGGTTCTTCCAGAGTTAAAAATCTCCTTGCAAAAGATTTCAATTACGGTCAATGTTTTGGCGTAGCCTTCTTATATGGGGAACCCGGCTGATTTCAGGTATTGGCAGATTCTATCCTCATTTTCCAACCGAAGTGACATTAACTTGCCAATATCAGATTTGCTGATTTTTCTGTAGTTTCTAGCCGAATTTTCAAACTTTAATTATACCCTACACAACTATGTTGTAAGGGTATTATAGCATTGTGCTTAAGAGTTTGTAAAGCCACGAAATATTGGTCCTAGAACCATCTTTAAGTATACCGATTATATCTCGAATAGCTGAGTCGATCCACGATACAGGCCACCGCTATGGACAGATCTCCACGAAATTTTGCATGTGGTTAATATTGAGGGGATGAAATGGACTAAATACTTAAAAAAAATTTCAGGTCTCTCCAGAGGTCGCAATTATGGCCCGAACATCGTGAAATTTTACATGGAGAAAGGGGTCTAACCATGGAATAATCATGACCATTTTGACGAAGATTCGTCAATATTTAGCGAGTCAAACAGATCCAGTCTTTTGTGTGAAAAAAAAAATTACATTAAATTCTTAAATCAAGTACGAAGATGGGACCCATTGGTCCACTCATTTTGGTACCTTACAAATGGTACACATTAATACGAATTTCCAAAACTTCCTACATACCCCAATTCTACAAAACAACAATGATTTTAACACAAAATTCCAAGATCGCAGTTCTATCAGTTGACCCAAATCCACATTTGGTACACATTAGTTAAAATTTATTAAACCTTATTTCCAACCGTAACCTTATTTCCAAATTTCAGTCTTCCAGCTCTATCGGTTCAGCCAAATCCACATTTGGTACCATTTGGTATTAGTACAAATTTCCATAATTGTCTACATATCCCAATCCTACACCCTAACAATAACCCTAACTCCAAATTTCAGGATCGCAGTTCTATCAGTTCACTTAAAATTTAAATTTCAGGATCGCAGCTCTATCAGTTCACTCAAAACTTAAATTGTACCAAATTTAGTACAATTTAGTACCCATGAGTGTGAATTTCCAAAACTACACTCCAACATTAATCTTATTTCCAAGGTTCGCCTAAAATTTAAATTGTACCAAATTTAGTACGAATTTCCAAAACTTTTTACAAATCCCAATTCTACACCCCAACAATAATCCTAACGTCAAATTTCAAGATTCTAGCTCAATCGGTTCACCCAAATCCACATTTGGTACCATTTAGTCCAAATTTCCAAAATATCATACAACGGTTCGCCAAAAATTTAAATTGTACAAAATTTAGTTCACAATAGATGGAATTTCAAAATTTCCAAATTTCAGGATCCTAGCTCTATAGGATCGACCAAATCCAAATTGTACCAATTATAGTACGATTCAGTACTTTTCGTACACATAAGTAAAAACATTCCAAAACTACGTACATATTCCAATCCTACATTCCGGCGACAATCTTAATTTCAAATTTCAGGATTCCAGCTCCATTTGTAACTCCAATTAAAAATTGTACCAAATATAGTACCATATTGTACTTTTCGTATACACGAGTACACGCTTTTAAAGCCACCTCCTTATACTTCTCAACCTTTATTTGCATTCTAAAATTCAAACTTTAGTACATTTTAGTACTTTTTGGATACTTACAGTTCGATGCCCATACATTCTACACTCCCCATATCGTGGCGGAGAACTGCACACTTCCAACAAACTGCAGCAAAAGCAACACTTGGGTACCAAAGACCACCATCAAGAAATCTATGGTACGATCGGGAGTGTCGTAATGCTACTGATATTAAAAACGCAGCGTTTTTGTTGTCCCTGCGGACAGTACCAACACGTAATGCGATGGAGAACTCTCGGGAGAAAAGAAGAGAGGAGAAACGTATTTTCAGGAAAAAGAAGAAAGAACAAGAAAAAAGTGATCGTGAGCAAATTGAGATGTACAGGAGTCAGAATGAAGTCCGAAAATTCTACCAACGGGTAAAACACCCAACCGAAGGCATTGGTGCAGGCACATCCTCCTGTAGAGATGAAGAAGGAAACCTGGTGACAGATACAGAGACAGAGTGCTGAGGATCTGGAAGGAGCATTTTGAAAAACTTCTGGTATCAAATAGTAGCGCTATAAAGCCGCATTCGACAGCCCTATCCGTTCAGGGGTGTATAAAGCCATATCTGCGTTTGGCATTCCTGCAAAATTAATACGGCTATGCAGGATAACTTTAGCTGGCATAAGA